ACTTTTCATGGCAAAACAGAAAGGTTTTATTGGATTCTATTAAAGCAGAAAATGAGGCAATGATACAGTGACAAAGTAGAAAACTGAACTAAGTAGGTTGATGTTAAAGAGGCTCAAAACTCAAAATTAAGAGACAAAGGAATTCGTAACCGAGCAAGAATCTAATTTCATAATGACCACTTGGAATCTGTATAAACATTATAGCTTCCTTTTAAAATATTGTTCTCATGATCTAGATGGTTATTTTGAAAGATAATACAATAAAGGAAAAAAAATCCTGTTTTTCATTTTATTGGTTGGTTTTGCTAAACTTTTTTTTAAACTCTGCCTCTTTATAGTTGTGTAATCTCACTTTCTTTCTTTCTTTCTTTCTTTTCTTTCTTTCTTTCTTTCTTTCTTTCTTTCTTTCTTTCTTTCTTTCTTTCTTTCTTTCTTTCTTTCTTTCTTTCATTTCTCCCTTTATTTCTAGTTTTGTTATAGCGATATGCACTCACTAGAGAGAGAGAGAGATAAAGAAAGGAAGAAAGTCAGAACTAATCCCACAGGGGAATGTCCATACCACAATCCATTCTCTTCCATTCACCTCTAAGGATTTGGGGCATGCACGAACATACGCCTGGCATGTTTTCAAGCTGCTGAGCCTGGGACTTGAATTGCGCAGTTGGCCATGGGGGATCCACTTGTCCTAATCTCCATACCATCTCCTGGCCCAATATGTATTTTTTTTAAATTAATTTTTTATTACATTTTCCTTGGAAAAGTAATTACTAGTATGATAATTAAAGATCTATTGAACACACTTTCAATTCTGATTCCCTCTTCTACCTCTCTAGTAGTCATCATTAAATATTTGGTGCTTATTCTTTCAGAACTTTTTCTATGCACATGTATAAACCTGTGGGAAATATGTAGTATGGTTGTACACAGACTTTAAAAAATACAAATAGTTTCATACTGGGTGTACCTGTATTCTATGTTCATTTGTTTTGTTTTCTTTTAGCAATATATTTTGGAAACTGTCTAAAATGTACATATATATCTACTTAATTCTTCTTTATACCATGTACAAAAAAAAAAATTCATCATCTAAACTATAGCTTACTCTCCTTTGAAGGATATTTAGGTTGTTCATGGTATTATAATGTTGCAAAAATCATTCCCGATTATTGCCCAATATGCATGTATGTGAGTTTTTTAATCTAGGGTAGGTTTTAAAAAGTGAAATGCACAATTTAAGTATTAATTGCTGGTGCTAAATTACTTCCCCAAATAGTTTTACAAATTTATAGTTCCATCCAGCAGGGTATAAAAATACTTATGTATTACCTCACCAACTCTTGGGATTATGAGTCTTCTTAAACTTTTGCCAGTCTGATGGGTTGGTTTTTATTTTTCAGGCTGTATTTCTTTAAATATTAACAGAATGAATATCTTCTGTTATTGTTTACCAATTCATATCCTTTTTTTGTTTTGTGATAGGATGCATGTGCTGGCTGGGTTGCGTGATTTTTTTTTAAAGAGGGAAGGGGGGGAGAGAGAAAGCACTCCCCTGGAGGGATAGCAACACCACACTCCCCTCTCCTCCATTCTCTCTGGATTTTTGGACATGCAAGCACATGAGCCAGGCATGTTTTTCAAGCTACCTGGTCTGGGACTTGAATGACACAGTCAGTCAAGTGGGATCCAGCACCTCAACCACCACACCACTGGCTGGCCCCAAATTCCTATGCTTTACCCATTTTGTAATTGGGAATTTGTCCTTTTTTTTTTTTTTTAAGGAAATGTTTTATATATAGAACCAATTTTTGTTATATATGGTATAAACATTTTTCACAGTCTTTTAACTTATTTCTATTATTTTTTTGTAAGAGAATTTATTTACTTTCTATTGTCAAAGGGCATGTGTACTCTCCAGGGGGAGAGAAAACACTCCTTGATGGGGTTGATTAGGTTGTGATAATTATTCCTCCATTCTTTCTTCCTGCCAGTATTTTGGACACACTTGTACACATGCCTGGTATGTTTTTCGAACTGCTGGGGGTAGTATTTTGAACTGCTGGGGCCACAGTAGGCCCCGTGGATGCTGGGTCCCTTTAACTGCTGTATTATACATCAGCCCAGGGCATTTATATCTCAATGGAGTCAAATGTATATATATATATTTTCCCTTTTGTGACTGTCACTTTTCATGTCATGCTTAAGACTATAGTGGACACAAGACCATTAAAATAGTTGTCTTTCTTTGTAATTGCCAGAGGGCATATGTGTACATCAGAAAGAGAGAGAGAGAGAGAGAAAGAGAACACACATGAGAGATAGAGGAAGCACTCCTGTTGGGGCATGGTCCCACTGCAATCCTCGTTCATCTCTCCATTCCACCAGGATTCCAGGCACGCAAGCACATGCCTCTAGTGTGTTTCCTAAGTTCCTGGGCTGGGCCTCAAACTGTGGTCAGTGATGTGGGATCCAGCTCCCTTAACCAGTAGACCACAGGGATGGACCCATTAAGATATTTTTCTACATTTACTTCTAAATCTTCCATAGGCTAAATTATATCTAAACCATTAAATTATCCTTATCTTATTTCCATAATGTATGAGTCTATCCTCTTTTCACAAACAGACAGGCAAATTTTTGAGCCTCAGGTTCTATCAAAAAAAAAAAGGTGATAATATTTACAGTATAAATGCTGCCAGATTAAAAAATCATATTTTTAAATAACCTGACACAGTTCTGGTACATGATAAATGTTTATTACATGTCAGTTAGATATGAAAATGTTTTTAATATATTTTATAGCTATATTGAATATATAAATAATAATTAATATATTATTTAACAAAAAAACAGAGGCATCAGAGTAGATCATATAAATTTTCAGTCAGTCCATACTGGAGATGCAATTTTTATATAATAACCAGTAAGTTAGTTGTGTGTGGAAACCCATTATCAGATATACTGACATTCTTAGAGTAGAGAAGGTACTTCAGGCTTGTAATATTTATTGCATGTCAGGAAGTGTTTTAAGCACCACAGAAGTATTCTCTGAATGATTCCTCCAAAATAACCCCATGAGTTAGGTACTTTCATTGCCACTTTAAAAATAAGGAACTTGGTACCAGCAGGTGGCACAGTGGTTAAGGCAGTGAGATCCCACATTACCAACATGGTTCAAATCCCAGACTTGGGAGATTGAGAAACACGCACAGGACACGTGTGTACACATGTCCAAAATCTCAAAAGGACGGAGAAAAGGAAAGGGGATTGCAGCATGATGATTTCCCCTGGGGGTGGGTAGTGCTTTCTCACTTTCTCTCTCTGTCTCTGTCCAGAAAGCACACACACCCTCTGACAAAAAACAACAAAAATGAGGAAAGTGAGGTGCAAAGAGTCATGAAGCAGCTTTTGTGAGTTTAAGTAGTAAATTAGCATAGAACCAGAATATGAACTCAAGCAGTCTCCTTCAACAGCAAAGCTCCTGGTCATAAAGCTAAGCTGCCTCTGTAAAATTTTAAGAAGTAGGTGTTATTCCTCCGACAACAGAAGACTTCAGGTCAGAAAAGTAAAGGAATTTGCCAAATAGTCCAGACATAGATCAAAATCAGCCTGACTTTAATGACTAGATTCACTCTACTTCTCCATACCAATTCCAGTAGAAGGATATCTGACCACTGAACAGTAAATGCCAAAACATCTTAATGCATGAACAGCAAACATTTACAGAGGGTCTACCACAGGCCAGGTGTTCTGCTAGGAACCAGGGCTAGAGAAACAAACAAAACATAGTGGCTTCCTCTAAAAGTATACAATAGGTTATAAAATCACAGAAGAAGGATATCTAAGTCAGTTCAAGACAAAAGGGTATAGGAGCGAACAAGTGAGCGAACACTTGTGAAAGGAAGCAATGTTCGAGCTATTAAAAAGAGCAGAACAGATCGAGAGCAGTGACCTTGAGCACAGAGAAAAAGTAGGGTGCATGGAAGAACACACACTGTAAACCACCACTGGATTCTATAGGAAATAGTGACTCTCAGCTACTACTGAATAAACCGTTCACAGGAAATGGCTTCCTCTGGAATAGTGAAAATAGAATAAAAGGGATGTTACACAGAGAATTGTAGCATTTCAACCTAGATGAAAACTTTTAACAACATAAAATCTCTTTTGTTTTTGTTTTTTCGGTTTTCTTTCTTTTTTTTTCTTTTTTCTTTTCTTTTCTTTCTTTTTTTTCTTTTTTTTTTTTTTAGAAATTTTTGCTATAAGACACGTATACTAACCAGAGAAACAGAGAGACAGAAGAGAAATCACCCCTCAAGGGAATGGCCATGGCGCAATCCCTTCTCCTCCATTCTCTCCTCAGGATTTCAGACATACATGCGCCTGCTCTTGGTGTGAGTTTCAAGCTGCCAGGTCTGGGAGATGAAGTGTGGTCAACCACATGGGAGCCTAGTGACTTAGCCACTACACCACCTGCTGACCCCCATAAATTCTCATTTGTAACTTACCATTAGTCAAACTCAAATATTAATATTAATACTAGGATACTGTGGATCCTTCCTCCAGTATACTTATAATGCTCTTCACAACAAGCGTGTGATGGAGATGTTGTACCTGAATGATATCAGGGAACTCCAAGATATAGTAAAATCAAAGGAATTCCTATTACAGTCAGTTTTGGTAGAACTAGTGCTTGATTTGTAACTACAAAGTCATAGAACAGGGCAAAATTGTGAAGTTTACCAAGTTCAATTCTCTTACTTCAAAATGTGATTAACACTAAAAGATAAAATGTTTTGTTCAAAGTGACATGGTTACCCACAGTTGATAGAACCTACCCATCCTATTTACAAGAAGGCTGCAACAAAGAAACCTTTTAAAATCCATTTTACATGAACATTAATCACATATGTGAGTTAGCATGGAGATAAATGAACACGATGCCCCTTTAAGGAGATGATTCTCCTTCCATATTATCAAAGAGTACATGGAAGAGTACTTACTTGGTCAGTCTTTCGATGGTCTGCATGTGAACATTATTGTGGGTTTGGGAAAGAACAGCTTCATGCTGAGCACATTTCAAACAAAGACCACCAACACGGTTACAACTATTAGCAGCAAGAAGAGCTTCTTTATGCTTTAGTCGCTCCTTAAGATCTTCACAGGTCTTCTGATATTCAGCTAAATCTTTTCTAAAAACAAGTGGAAAAAAAAATCTAGAAAATGACCAGGTAGAAGTATAGTACTTTTAAATAAATTATGCTAGCGATGGCCACTACTACTGTGGGTACTTATCTTATCAGGTACTTAACATATAATACTTCATTCATTCTTAACACACTCCTGAACTGCAGGAGGTGTGATTATCCTGATTGACATGTTGAATGAAATGAGATTTGAATATATTACATAATTAGCTAAGGTTCCTGTAAGATTTAATACAGACTAAAGTCTGCTACGGATACTAGCTCTCTTTTCATAGGGTCTGACCTTCATTAACATCATATTAGCTCACAAAACAAAAATAAAATGCCAAATATAAATCTTAAGTAGTTTCTCTAAATAAATAGATGGGGTGGAACCAGCAGTTGGCATTATAGCTATGTTGCTGGACTCCCATGTAGTCAACCGCAGTTCAAGTCTCAGACCCAGTGGCTTAAACTCACGCCGGGTGCGTGTGTGTGCATGCCCAAGATCCCGAGAGGAGAATGGAGGAGAAGGGATTGTGGCGTGGCCATCCCCCTGGGGGGTGATTTCTCACTTTCTGTCTCACCGTCTCTCTCTGTCTTTCTGGAGAGCGCATGTGCCCTATAGCAAAAACCTCTCAAAAAAAAAAATTAATAAGATGGGGTAACATAAAAATATCATTAAAAAGAGGAAAATATTCTATTTCAAGTATTAACTCTTTAAAAATTATAAAGAACATCTTAAAAGTTTACATGAAGAACTCATGGATTTTTTTTTTTTTTTGCAGAGTTTTTTGCTATAGGGCGCCTACACTCACCTGAAAGACAGAGAGAGACCTAGAGACAGAAAGCAAAAAATCACCCACCAGGAGCATGGCCATGCCGCAATCCCTTCTCCTCCATTCTCCTCTCAGGATCTTGGGCATGTACGCATACATGACTGGAGTGAGTTTTAAGCCACCGGGTCCAGGACTTGAACTGCGGTTAACTACATGGGAATCCAGCGACGTAGCCATTATGGGAACTGCTGGTCCCAAGAACTCATGGATTTTATTCATGAATTTATTTATTATTACCCAAACTTCTTCAGGAGAATATAATGAGGGCTACATAAAGAAGTTAGAATTTGACAGCCACAAGATGTCAAAAGTACCAACTATTAGGTGGAATGCAGCATGACAAAGAATGAATGTTCTGTGAGTGTGGTGTGGCTTTTGTTTGTTTTTACTTTATGGGCTCACCTCTGGGGAAGGTTCTCCTCCTAGCTGACTTTTAAAGGATTAAGTGACCAAGTAAAACTTCGGTAAAGTCAACTTGAGCAACTGAACTTCTTTGCCGAGTTGCCCCTATCCTACAATGTGTTTTCGAAAACCAACTTTAGCTCAGAAAGGATACTACGAAGGCAGGTGCTTTTTCTACAGGTCAGTCTAGTCCCTATTGTCAGAGTTTCTACTGGCAGGAGTCTAGACCTAACTTATCTTGCTCACTGTCACAGAAGAGAAGTCAACAACCAAGAAACGGGGCTCTCATGTGTTGTTTCAACTCTTGGGATACTAGAGGCTTTCAAGCAGCCCAGGTTGGGGGTGGGGTGAGTGGTGACAAGATCAATAGGCATAAGGGCCAAAAAAAAAAAAAAAAAAAGCTAAACTAATGACAGTATGAAGGTAGCGTGGGAGCAGAAAAAAGCTTTATTCCCAAGACAATATCTTCGACATAATAAGTTTTCTTTTCATTATCATGTAAAAAATGTCTAACTTTCTTTGGGCCAACAGGTGGCATAGTGGTTAAGGCACTGGATTCCCATGTGGATGACTGTAGTCAGTGTCCCAGACCTGGTGCCTTGAAACTCACTCTGGGTGCGCGTGAGTGCATGCCCAAAATCCTGAGAATGGCAGAAGCAGGGACGGTGGCATAGTCATCCACCTGGGGGTAGGAGGAGGGACGATTTATCTTTTTCTGTCTCTCTCTGTCTCTGTCTCTCTCTCTAGTGAGTGCACACACCCTATAGCAAAAAAATTTCTCTCTCAAAAAAAGGGAAGTCTAAATTTCAAAGGCTTTAGTGGTTTGGAAGCACATTCTGAAGTCAAAGGGTTCCCATTATTAACTTCTGTCAGGTTCAGAATCAGAATATTCAAGGAGATTTGGTTCCTAGAAATGGCAAAAGACGGGTCAGCAAGTGGCATGGTAATTAAAGCACTGGATTACCACATGGCTAACCATGATTCGAATCCTGGACTTGGTGGCTTGAAAACTACAACAAGCCCATGTTTATGTGAGCCCAAAATCCCAAGGGGAGAATGGAGGAGAAAGGACTACAGCAGAGCCATCCCCCTGCTTCTCTGTCTCTCTCCTGTAAGCACACACACCCAATGGCAAAAACCTAAAAATAAATAAATAAATAAAAATAAACAGCTGAAGTCCTGGACCCGGGGGCTTAAACGCATGCTGGGTGCGTGTGCGTATATGCTCAAGATCCTGAGAAGAAAATGGAAGAGAAGGGATTGTGGCGTGGCCATCTCCCCACGGGGTGATTTCTCGCTTTCTGTCTCTCTGTCTCTCTGGCCAGCACAGGCGCCCTATAATAAACTCTTCAAAATAAATAAATAAATAAATACACACACACACACACACACACACACACACACACACACACACACGACATGAAAGCCATGAGTTCTGGTTCTTAGTATTACTTTAGTTATATCTCTAGACAGTATGTGGCCTAGAAGAATTTAAAATTTATTTAAAATTTATTAAAATAAAATTACATAAAGTAATTTAAAGTTTATTTGACTTGAACACACTTTATTACCATTACTTAAAAATAACTTTTAACCAAAAAAGTAATTCATTCCTACTGTCTTTTTTTATGTACTATCACTAATGGTTAATAAATAATATATGGGTTTTATTGTGAACTATAACATATAGATTTTACAAAATAGCACATGAACATTCATCATACATATTCACATTCATCATACATATATGATTATATTATCGTTGCAATTTTAAAGTTAGATGAAGACTGTCTACAGAAGGGAAAAAATACTTGCTTATAATTTGAAAACTGAAGAGCTTTACTTTCACTATCTTACTTTAAAAGTATAATTCTAACAATAACAGCTGGTAATCCTTACAACACAAATATTCTATAGTTGATAATAAGACAAAATTTATAATTTAGCTCACAGAAATGGGATTTGGAAAAACATTCACAATTTTAGACCCCCACCACCACCACCCTTTAATAATAGGAGCAAATTTTGTAGACTGTGTTTAAATGTCATCAAGTTAATTCCAATATTGAGTAAAGTTGGCAATTTACCAGACACTCATATATTTTAAAATCATTATGTTTTTGTTATGATAATTTATGGATAATGTCACTTTACCTCAAAAACTTCAATTGAGATTCCAAGGTGTCACTCTTCTTCTCATAAGTAAGTTTCAGCCTCTCCTATAATAAAAAAAGGAAAGTATATTTCTCAATGTCCTAAATTTTATAAGCAAATTTTAATTATTATTAAACTATATATGTGTGTGTAAATATGTGTGTGTGCGTGTATGTGTATATATACATATATGTATGTATGTATTACACATAATTGACCTACTGAGATACACAAAAGATAAATAAAATCAGAGAACCGGGGGTTGGTCATGTAGTTGAGGGAGCTATATCTCACATGGCCAACTGCAGTTTGAATCCTGGCCCAGTGACTTGAAAAACACACCAGGCACGTGTGCATGCAAGCTTAAAATCAGGATGGACTGGAGAAATAGAAGGAAAAAGGAATACAATATGAGCACACCACAGGGGGAGCTTCCTCCCTGCATCTCTTTCTTTCTCACTGGAAGGCATATGTGCCCTCTGGCAATTTAAATGAAAAAAAGGGGGGAGGGGAACAAAAAATCAGAGCATCTAGAACATCTAATCAAGCAAAGTAGAAATGAGAGTTTCACAGCAGAGGTACTGACTTGAAGAATAATTTTCCATACTGCAAAAGGCACAGAGACTAAATAAAGAATGCTTTATGTTTGGACAATAAGTAGATCAGTATCACTAGAATGAAAATCACTTTTTATCAGACTTGAATCATAACACACTTGAAGTGTGGAGAAAAGGAATGATTTTAAAAGTAATAAAAAATACATAGGTAAGAGATAAACTTGGAACAAAAGCAGTTGATCAGTGAAGTGTAGAGGTACCAAAGAGTAAAACAGACAGCATTTATGACTGGTAGGTATAACGGAGAAAAAGACACTAAAAACAACCCTGGGTCTCCACATTGGGCAACCAAGATAATGCTGATAAAGTTTTTTTTCTCAACTAACAAAAGAAGATATAAGAGACTCAAAAATAATTAATTCAAAAGAAGACATGGAAAAAGAAAAAGGGCCAATAATAAATGGGTAAAAAAAACCCAAATCACATGATGGCAGATTTAACCTTAACTGTGTAAATAATGGCATTATGTGGCAAAAGTCTAAACACCCAAATTAAAAGGCAAATATTGTCAGAGAGGATGACAGTAAAATCCAAATGCATGCTTTCTACAAGAAACCTTTAAATATAAGGTACAAAATATGTTAAAAGTGAAAGGATAGAGACCAGCAGTTAGTGAAATGGCTATGTCGCTGGACTCCCATGTAGTCGACCGCGACTCAGGTCCCGGACCCAGTGGCTTAAACGTACGCTGGGCTTGTGTGCGTGCGTGCCCAAGATCCTGAGAGAAGAATGGAGGAGAAAGGATTGTGGCGTGGCCATTGCCCCTGGGTGGTGATTTCTCACTTTCTGTCTCTCTGTCTCTCTCTGTCTGTCTGGCGAGCACACACGCCCTATAGCAAAAACTTCTCCAAAAAAAAAAAAAAGTGAAAGGATAAAAAGATATACCATGTAGGGAACCAGCAGTTAGCGTAATGGCTATGTCGCTGGACTCCCACGTAGTCGACTACGGTTTGTGTCCCGGACCCGGTGGATTAAAACTCACGCCAGGCACGTGTGCGTGCATACCCAAGATCCCGAGAGGAGAGTGGAGGAGAAGGGATTGTGGTGTGACCATCCCCCCTGGGGGGGTGATTTCTCGCTTTCTGTCTCTATATCTCTCTCTGTCTGTCTGGCGAGCGCATGTGTCGTATAGCGAAAACCTCTCCAAAAAATAAAAAGGAAAGAAAGATATATCATACTAACACTAACCAAAAAAAAGTGGAAGTCAGTCAAAATACAAAAATTATGTGCTTTTCTCTATATAAGCAATGAGAAGTTAGAAAAAAATTAAAAATACATATAATTTATGATAGCATTAAATATAAAAAAATTGGGAATAAATCTAATGAAGGATGTACAAGACCTTTACTCAGAAAACTGTAACACGTTACTTATTGACAACATTTAAAGATAATCTAAATAAGTAGAATTTGAAAGATTAGATGATATGATACTATAAAGATATAATTTAGGGAACCAGCAGTTAGCGTAATGGCTATGTCGCTGGACTCCCACGTAGTCGACCACGGTTCGTGTCCCGGACCCGGTGGCTTAAAACTCACGCCGGGCGCGTGTGCGTGCGTGCCCAAGATCCCGAGAGGAGAATGGAGGAGAAGGGATTGTGGCGTGACCATCCCCCCTGGGGGGTGATTTCTCGCTTTCTGTCTCTATGTCTCTGTCTGTCTGGCGAGCGCACGCACCCTACAGTGAAAATCTCTCCAAAAAAAAAAAAAAGATATAATTTAAAGACAATCTATAATAAAACCTCTCAATGACTTTTGAGAACTCAACAATTCTAAAAGGTACTTGGAAATTCAAAAGGCCAGAAAGAGTCAAGATACTCTGGTAAACAATGAGCAATGTTACAGAATTGTTCTAACAGATTTAAGACTAGTCAGCAAAATAGCTGACTAGAAGTACTTAGCATT